GAGGCATTTCAATGGGTTATAGGGTGATTGACTTGCCTTGGGTGGGGGGAGTTCCCTATCTGTCATCCAGACCTCTCTCCAAATTCTCAAAACTGCTCCCAAAGTCGAGAATGTCTCAGCAAAGCATCTTGCCTGCAGATCACACACCTGGACATGAGTGTGTGTGTGTGTGTGTGTGAGTGTGTGTGTGTGTGTGTGTGTGTTTGTACGTGGTGTCCATATCGCCAGCCACAAATCTATTCACCCTCACCCATAAACTGGTTCTGGCCCAGGGATCTAAACAACTCCATAAATATCCCCTCTGTCCTCTGGATCCGTTGGGCAGAGCCCCGGTTCCTGAGTAGCCCCCCACAGCCCCCTTGCGACGTGCTAATCCTCTGGATCTAGATGTGGGGTTTCGCCAAGGTCGCCCCCCTCCCCCACCCCGCGGGGGCTCTGCTTTAGGGCCGGGTGCAGAGAAGGGTCAGCTGCTCGCCCTTGCTGGCCTGCGTGTCTCCGGCTGGAGCAGAGGAAATGTTCTGTTTTGTTTAGGGGCGACCACGTGCCTAGGTGCTCCAGGCAACCCCTTTCTCTGTGCTGATAACACTGGGGGGCCCTGCAGTGTTCAGAAGAAGCCTCCCCCCCCCCACAATCTGCTGGGACATCTCCCTGCTGGTTTGGTGGGAGGGTTTTTTTGGGGGGGGATAGGGGGACATAGTAGTGCTCAGGGCTTTTGGTTTACTCCTGACTCTGTGCTCAGGGGACCCTAGGAAATCCTGGGAATTAAACCTGGGTGAGCCCCGGTCAAGGTCAGCGCCCTCCTCGTCCTGTGTTGGGTGAGGAGGGTCAGTCTGGAACCAAGGTGTGTGTGAGGGCAAAGGGAGACCAGGCTGCTGGGGAAGATACTGAGTCCTGGGGTGGGGGTGCCCTGAGGGTGGCCAAACCCCCAAGCTGGGTCTCAGGGTAGAAATGGGGATGAGACAGAACCTGGGGTCACCCTCAGGGGAGCCGGAGTGATAGATAATCCAGCAGGGAGGGTGTTTGCCTTGCACACAGACAACCAGGTTCGATCCAGGCGATCGGGTTCAATTCCCGACCGGGTTCGATTCCCGGCATCCAATAAAGGGTTCCCCCAAGCCCTACCAGGAGTGATGCCTGAGTACAGAGTCAGGAGGAACCCCTGAGCATTGCCGGGTGTGACCCAAAAAACAAACCCAAAGAAGAAGCAGCACCACTGAACTCAGAAGAGGTTGAGGACTTCTGATAAGACAGGCCCTGGCTTGGATCCTTGCAGCAACAGGAGAGAAATGGGGAGGGCAGGGAAGGAGAGGAAGCAGGGGGGAGGGGAAAGGGGAGGGAAGGGGAGGGTGGCAGGAGGAAGAAGGGCGCCCAGAGAGAGGTATATGGGTGGGGAGGCAGCACCCCAGTTTGTATCTGGGGTCCTGGAGGAGAACATCTGGTTCCCCAGGGAGGTAGGGCACTCTGGGGGTGTGCTGGGGTCCAGGCAGCACTGAACCCCTTAATCATTGACTCAGGAGTGCTCATCCTCCTGGAGAGGTCTGAGTTCCTGCATTTTTAGGGTGCCCCTAAATGGGTGCTGTCCACTAGCTGGAGAGGCTGTTCCTTCTCCTCATTTGTGAAGCACTTGCTGTTGACCTGGTCCTGGAGATCCAAACAGGCTCCACAAGTTCCAAGGAGAATAAGACAAAGACCCACGATTGTGATAATACGGAAACAGAAGCGAGGCTAGAGGGGGCCCCAACGAGAACAGTGCTGAAGTGACTGTCCAGGGGACTTTCTCAGGAGGTGGCCTTTGAGGGAAGGCCGGAAGGCCAGGTAGCAAGGAATAGTGATTCAGGCAAGGCACAGCCTGTGCAAAGGCCCTGGGGCAGGCTGATGCTGCTCCCTGGCATGGGCTGTGGGGAGGAGGAGAAAGTTTTCCTGTGAAAGAAGGGATGCAGGGAACTCTCCCTGCAACACAACACACAGACCACACATTCATGCTACACACCAAAAACATACAAACATACACCACACACATACCTGCCCAGCCAAACACGCAGACACACCAGCTACATATGTACCACACTCCCACATATCAGGCAGGCCGAACATATCACACCAAATACACACCTGCCAAACATACACACTACACCCGGACACACTGTACACAGCATGCATGCACACAAACATACACACACACCACACACAGATATATGACATGGGACAAACGCATGCACGTCATCATACTCATGCGTGCCACACCCCCATACATATATCACATGCATATACACGCAAACATCACAGACCATACATACACCCCACACAGACACCTATACCAAACACATCAATGATACACACCACACAGATACCCCCTAAACACATACACACTATGATCAACACCGTGTACACACAACACCACCATACCACACACATGCACGCATACACAGCACACATACCACACAGACTACACAGACCACAAAACACACAGCACACACACAACACACAGTACACACATATGCAGCACACACGTACACAATACACAGCACAGGCACAGCAAACAGCACATACACAGCACATACAGCACACAGTAAATGCACAGCACACAGACAGCCACAGCACACACACACACAGCCACAGCACACACCACACACACATACCACACATCCACAGGTTCCCAAGACTTTCCTTTTTTAGTTTATCTGGGGGCCGCACCTGGCGATGCTCAGGGTTGACCCCTGGCTCTGCACTCAGGAATCACTCCAGGTGGTGCTCGGGGGACCCTACGGGATCATGGGAATCAAACCCAGGTTGGCCATGTGCAAAGCAAGCGCTGTCCCCTGTGTCCTATGTCTCGTTTTTTGAGTCACACCTAGCAGCAGTGCTCAGGGCTGACTCCTGGCTCTGCACTCAGGCATGACTCCTGGGGGGGGGGGGTCCAGGGGATCCTATGGGATGCAGGGGATCGAACCTGGGTTAGCCGCATGCAAGGCAAGAGCCCTCCCAAGCACCCTCCCCGCTGTGCTGTTGCTCCAGCCCTGAGAAAATGTTTTGATTTCACTTTGGGGCCACACCTGGCCTTGCTCAGGGTCAACCCCTGACTCAGTGCTCTGGGATCACTCCTGGTAGGGCTCGGGGGACGCTATGGAGTTCCCAGTGCAAGGCAAACACCATCCCCACTGTCCCATTGCTCTGGCCCCAGGACCTCGAGTCGAGTCTCTGCTTCCCTCACCCCCAGGGTCGACCTCCAGACACCCCATGCTGGAGGCTCCCTCTTGTTATTCTCACTGCTCCGGAAACTCTGGCTTATTTATTTATTTATTTATTTATTTTTGCTTTTTGGGTCACACCTGGCAATGCTCAGGGGTTCCTCCTGGCTTTGCACTCAGGATCACTTCTGGCTGTGCTCTGGGACCCTATGGGATGCTGGGACTGGAACCCAGGTTGGATGCGTGCAAGGCAAACGCCCTCCCCGCTGTGCTATGGCTCCAGCCCTGGAAACTCTGGCGTTGATGCTCCAACAATCCCACTGCCGCTGAACTCAGCCTGGCATGGGCTGGGTCCCTCCTGCGGTGCCTCAAAGTGCCCTGTGGTGAGGTTAGAGCTCCCCTGCCCCAGACAAAAACTGGGAGCAGACCCGGGGCAGACTGAGGGTTGGTCTGTGTCAACAGGTCCCAGCTCCAATCTGTGATTGTTTGCTCGTTGACTGACTCAGCGACCTTGAGGTTTGGCTTTAGTCCAGCCAGCCGGGGACCAAGGACAAGGGCGGCATCCTGCCTCCAAGCCTGTGCCGGCATTGGGGTGGATGTGGATGGAGCCCCCAGCCCGTCTGTCTTCTAGGAGCAGCATCTGTCTCTCGGGGAGTTGCGTGTGCGCCCCGACTGTCCTCCTGTCTTGGGGTTCATCGGATGCCAGACTGCCCTTCTTTTTGCTTTTTCTTTTTTGCTTTTTGGGTCACACCCAGCGATGCTCAGGGGTTACTCCTGACTTTTGCACTCAGGAATTACCCCTGGTGGTGCTCAGAGGACCAAATGGGATGCTGGGAATCGAACCTGGGTCAGCTTCGTGCAAGGCAAACGTCCTACTCGCTGTGCTATTGCTCCAGCCCCTGCTTTTTTTCATTTTAAGACTTTCTGGGGCTAGAGCGATAGTACAGGGGGAGGGCTTTTGCCTTGCACATGGCCGACCTGGGTTTGATTCCCAGCATCCCATGGGGTCCCCCGAGCACCACCAGGAGTGATTCCTGAGTGCAGAGCCAGGAGGAAGCCCTGAGCACAGCTGGGTGTCACCCAAGAAGCCAAAATAAATAAATAAATAAATAAATAAACTTTCTCAGGTTTGGGGGCCATACCCAGCAGTGCCCAGGGCTTCCTCCTGGCTCTGTGCTTGAGGGTCCCTCCTGGCGGGTCTCAGGGATCCCAGCGCATGCCTGGGACAGAACCGGGCCTGGTATGTGCATGCCTCCTCCTTTCAAACCAGTCCCCTTGGGGCCACTCCGCAGATGCGAAGACTGAGACCCAGAGGGGCTGAGGTTCTGGTTCTGCCTCCCAGGGGTCCCCCTTTTCCTGGGGTTCAGGGGTGCAACACCCCTTTTCCCTCTGGGCGCCCTGCACTTCCTGCCAGCTGTTGGCGGGGAGGCTGAGTGTTCCCCCAGTTCTCAGGTGGGCCTCCAGTGTCTCTTCCTCAGAAAGGCCTTTCGTGACCCCCCCAACTGCTCCCCTACCACCTGCGGTAACTAAGTATTTATTGGTTTCCTGGTCCCTGTCCCCTGCGGGAAGCGGGGAGGTGGGGGGCAGGGGGCAGGAGCGCCCGGAGGGGTGCAGGCGAGGAGGAGTGGGGGGAGCACGGAGGAGGAGCTGCGCCCGAGCCTCAGTTTCCCCAGCGGGCGCCCGCGGCAGCGAGTGGGTGGGCTCCCGGGGGCGGCGCGCGGGGTGGGCGGGCCGGGCCGTGCGTGTGTTGGGGGGGCGGCGGCGCCACCTTAAGGCGGCTCAGCCCGCGGCTCCCAGCCGAGCCCCGCCGGAGGGAGGCGGCTCCGCGCGGGGCCCGCCCGCTGCACCGGCCGCTGCTCGGCCGCCCTCGCCGCCCCCTGCGCCCCGCTCCGGGAAGGGGGTCTGGGCGCCCCCGGACCGCGCTCGCGCTCCCGGGGGGCGCCGGGGACTCCCGGGTCCCTGCCCCAGCCACCCGCCCCCCACCGTCGCCCCTTTTCTTCGGGCAGCCCCTGCCCGCACCCCTGCCACCCCGCTATCGCCGGGCTCCCGGATCGGCAGGATGTACCCCCAGGGAAGGCACCCGGTAAGAGTGGGGTCCGGGCTGCCGCGGGTGCGGGGAGCCCCCGGGGGTGCCCCCCTTCCTCACCGCTCCCCGTGCCCCCAGACCCCGCTCCAGTCGAGCCAACCCTTCAAGTTCTCGATCTTGGAGATCTGCGACCGCATCAAAGAGGAATTTCAGTTTCTGCAGGCGCAGTACCACAGGTGAGGGGCCTGGGCACCCCGCAGGGGCACCCGGGAGTTCGTCCGCGGGCCCGGGGGAGCCGCTGGACCCCGCAGGGGTGAAGGGCGTGGCTACGGGCGCGGGGGCGTGGTCGTGGAGACAGGCGGGCGTGGCCATGCGTGTTGAGGGCGTGGTTATGGGGTAAAGGCGTGGCCATGGGGCGGGGGTGGCGAGGGCTTGGGGGCGTGGTCATTGGGTATGTGGGGCGGGGCATGGACTGAGGTCCTAGTCTAGGGGAGGGGGGAAGCGGGAGCGGGGGCCAGAGGTGTGGGTAGGGTAGGGACAGTTCATGGTAGGACCCTGGGAGCCAGGGATGGAGCAGGGGGCATTGGGACCCTGTGGGGGGGGGGGGCAGGCACGGGAGAACCAAGACTTTCCTTAGAGGATCTGCCCCTAAGGGGCTGGGGTGCAGAACCAGAGGGATCTCTGTGCTCCTTGTGCCTCCCCAAGCCTCAAGCTGGAGTGTGAGAAGTTGGCAAGTGAGAAGACAGAAATGCAGCGACATTATGTTATGGTGAGGGGGTGGCCCGAGGGTTGGGGGTTTGAGAGGGGCACACACTGCTTGTCTGGGGCCCAACCCTCTCCCACTCCCTGCCTGGCGCTCGCCTCTGGCTGCCATCTCTCCCGGGGTCAGCGCCCTGGCATGACCTCCTGCCCCCTCCCTGGAAAGGGGCGCAGCTTTCTCCTCTGGGCTTCCTGGGGGATGCCATGGAATGCAGTGGGGGATCCCAGAAGACCCAGGGGCCCCGGGCCAGGCTGAGCACCTGTCCCTGTCGTTCCTTCCAGTACTACGAGATGTCTTACGGACTCAACATCGAAATGCACAAACAGGTGAGGAGGGGAGGGTCTCCAGGGTGGGCGATGCCGGGCTAGGGTCCCAGGGGCTTCTCCAGGAAGCGCTTGGACCAGGGTGAGGGTTCAGCCTTCTGCAAAGAAACGGGTTCTGAGATTCCAGCGCGCTGGGCCCGACAGACAGGGGCAGGCGAGAGCTGACTGGATGGAAGGAGGATGTGTGGGTGGACAGACAAATAGATGGAGCAAAGGAAAGATTGAAGAAAGGAAGGATGGATGGATGGTTGGGCGGATGGGTGGGTGGGAGGATGTGTGGGTGGATGGACGGACAGATGGGTGGACAGATGGATGAATGGATCAATGGATAGATGGGTGAATGTGAGAGACGGATGGATGGACGGGTAGATGAGTAGATGGACTATGGACAGACAGGAATCTGGAAGGTCACTTCCGGTGCAGCAGCAAGGTTGGCGGGTCTGGGTCCAGGGTGCCTGCTGGCGTGAGGGTCGGAGATTATCCAGTGTAGGGTGAGTCCAAGACTGTCCTCAAATCTGGGAGGGGGTGTTTGTTTGGGGGCTGGAACCCGGGCTCGCACTCAGCCCTGTGCATCTCCCCCGCCCTGGCCCTCGCTGGACCCCGAGTCCACTCTGGGTGCTGAGGTAGACCCACTTGCTTCTCACAAACCCCAAGATCCTGGACTCAGGGTCCTCCAGCAGCTTCTGAAGGGGTGGACGGAGAGATTCGGAGGGTGATGGGGTCACTTTCCGGCAGCTCCCGAGGGCGAGCGAAGAAGAGGGGTATCTTTGGGGGTATCCCCCGCCTTGGCATGCTCTTCCGGTATATGTGGGCTCTGCCATGTCCTGGGGGGGGGGACAGCCGTGTCTGGCCTGCCTGCAGCCCAGTGTGGTCTCCTGAGAGCCCCGGAATAGGCTGTTTATGGGGGATCCAGGCCTGGGAACCTGGCTCTGCCTTCCTGTGTGTGTGTGTATGGGGGGCACCCAGCCTGCCAGACACACAGCACGTGGCACCCCCGTAACTTCCAAGCAGGGGCTGATGTCGCCTTCCCCCTGCGCCCAACGTTTGCGGGCCGCCTGTGCCCATTGCCTGCTCTGGGGAACCCACGGTTTGCTGGGAACCTACGGTCAGCTGCCCTGCCCTACTACCAGGGTGGTCGGGGCTCCCCACGTTTTCCTTGGGGGTTGCTCCTGGCAGTGCCAGATCCCAGCCATCCCCTCACGCAGAGCCTTGCTCAGCCCTCAGGGTCCTTCCTGGCCCTTCACACGCCGGGTTGCGCCACCTCGGCCTCTGCTCGGTGCCCCCAGTACTATGCTCCCCAAAGGGGCTGTCCTCCAGCTCCTCCCTGGGACAGTGCTGGAGCCCTCGGGAAGAGGCTTATCTCATCCCCATTCATGAGAAAACTTCAGGGGGGTCATCGGAAGAAAGAGTGGCACTGGGCAGGGTGCCCTGTGAGCAGGGGTGAAGTAGGAGGGTGTGCTGTGCAGGCAGGATAGCGGGCAGGGTGTGTTGTCCGCAGGGGTGTAGGGAGTAGGGTGTGTTGTGGGCAGGGGTGTAGGGGCAGGGTGTATAGAGGCTGCGTGCAGGGGTATAGCGGGCAGGGTGTCCTGTGGGCAGGGGTGCAGTGGGCAGGGTATGCAGTGGGCAGGGGTGTAATGGGTGAGTGTGTTGGGGGGCGGGGTGTGCTGTGGGCGAGGGTGTAGAGTCTGGCTGTGCTGTGGGCAGGAGTATAGCGGGTGAGCGTGCTGTGTGCAGGGGTGTAGTGGGCAGAGCCAGGAGTGCTCCCTGAGCACCAGTTGTGGCCCAGTGAAAAAGCCCAGAGCCCAGAGTGATGCTCTCCCCCCAGGCAATATGTAGGGGTGGCAGGGGGACCCCTGAGCTGGCCGCCTCCTCCCAGGCCCTCTGCTCCCTGGTCCCCATTTACAGTATAAGGGGATCCCCCCATCCCGCCCCGAAATTTTGCAGACTCTTGAGGTTCTGGGGCTGCTGGCAAGCCCAGCAGCTGAAAGAGCCTGTCTAGGTGTCCTCCCGAGGGAGCCTTGGGCCTCACCCCCCCTGGCCCCCAGGCCCCCCCTGCCCGCTAGGAGCCAGCCCTGAGCACAGGGCCAGGAGCAGCCCCTGAGCCCAGCTGGGTGTGGCCCCCCCCAAACCCGAACCCAAACTAACCTGCTGCTCCCGCAGGCGGAGATCGTGAAGCGGCTTAGCGGCATCTGTGCCCAGATCATCCCTTTCCTGACCCAGGAGGTGAGCTAGCGCCCTGGGGCGGGGTGGGGGGGGGCAGGGGGCTCCAGGCCCTGAGGTGCCTGCTGGCCTCAGACCCTGGCTGCTGTGTGCCTTGGGGAGGCCGCTGGCCCTCTCTGAGCCATGTCAGCACCTCCAGAGTCTGCCCTGATTGAGGCCCCGTGCTGCCCCCATCCCGGCTTTTATTTTGCCAGTGTTGGGGTGGGGGGGAATGTGTTCAGAACCACACGCGGCGGCGCTCCGGACTGATTGGGTGGTGGCCTGGGATCGAACCCCGGTCGGCTGTGTCCCGGGCGAGTCCCCACCCACATGCTGTCTCTCTGGGTCTTTTCTCCCATTTCTGGATTGAAGGTGGGAGAAACCACAAGAACTGGGTGGGTGGGGCTCCCCGGAGTCCCTGTGTACCCCCTGAGCCCCCCTGAGCTCCGTGTCCCCCCGCCGCGCCCCCCAGCCCCGTGTCCCGCCCCCTGTGCCCCCTGAGCCCCTGTCCCACCCCCATGAGCCCCGTGTCCCGCCCTCCTCAACCCCCTGAGCCCATGTCCCACCCCATGCCCCCATGAGCTCTGTGTCCCGCACCCTGCGACCCCCTGAATCCCGTGCCCAACCCCCGCGAGTCCCTGAGCCCCCGCCCCGCCCCCCGCGACCCCCTGAGCCCCCTGCTCCGCCCCATCCAGCACCAGCAGCAGGTCCTGCAGGCCGTGGACCGCGCCAAGCAGGTGACCGTGGGGGAGCTGAACAGCCTCATTGGGGTGAGTCGCGCCGAGTGTGGGGGCTCTCTCGGCCCCCGGGGGTCCCGTGGGGGGGTCCCCCGCTGGGCCCGGGCCCACCCGTCTCCTCTCCAGCAGCAGCAGCTCCAGCCTCTGTCCCACCACGCCCCCGCGGTACCCCTGACGCCCCGCCCGGCCGGACTGGTGGGCAGCAGCGCCACGGGGCTGCTGGCCCTGTCCGGGGCTTTGTCCGGAGCCCTGTCGGGGGCCCTGGCGGCCCAGGCCCAGCTGGCTACCGCGGCCAAGGAAGACCGAGGCAGCGTGGAGGCCGAGGGCTCCCGAGGTGAGTGAGCAGGTGGAGGGGGGCGTCCCTGAACGGAGGGCACGGTGGAGAGAGGGGTACAGCTGCTCAGCCCTGGGAGGGAGGCGGCCGGGGACCCTGACATCCCACCTGGTTCCCTTCCTGCTGTGTGTCCTGAGGCAAGTCACTCAACCTCTCTGGGCACCTGCCAGAGTGGCTCAGGCTCCGTCTCATCCACTCCCGGTGGGGGTGTGAGGAGGAGAGTGATGCTAAGCTTCCTGACTGCTGGGCCCCCTTTGGCACTGTGGGATGAAAACTGGGGGGCTAGCAGGGGGCTCTGTCGCCATGTGGGGGGTCTCTGCCGGTCCCTGGGGGTCCTGTGTGAGGGTCTCTTGCCTGGCTGAGTGATAGCACAGCCAGGAGAGTGCTTGCCTTGCACGTGGCCAGCACGAGTTCAGCACCCCATAAGGTCCCTTGAGCCCGGCCAGGAGTGATCCCCGAGCCCAGAGCCCCGAGTAACCGCCGAGCATTACCGGGTGTGGCCCCCCCAAACGAAAACAAAACCAAAACAGAAAGGGAAAATGAAATGAGAAAAAGGACCCAGGGCTGGAGCAACAGACCTGTCTTGCACGCAGCCCATTTGGGTTCAATCCCCGGCATCCCATAGGGTCTCCTTGAGCACTGCCAGGCGTGACCCCTGAGCACAGAGTCAGGAGTCAGCCCTGAGCATCGACGGGTGTGGCCTCAACCAAACCAAACCAAACCAAAAGACAGAGAGAGAGACAGAGAGAGGGAGAGAGACAGAGACAGAGAGAGACTGCAAACGATCCTCTCTCTGGAGCATTCTGATGAGCCATGGAGCTGGGAAGGGAGGAGGATGATTTGGGGGAGCTCTGGAGGGACCCTGGGGCAGGGGTGTGGGGGGATGGGCGGGCACGACACCAATCCAGTGTGCGGTGGGGTTGGGCCAGCCCCGCAAGTGTGCACAGTGATTTCAGTACAAACCTGAGACTCCAAACGTGGATGTGAATCGCTGAGAATGAAACCCTCGCCCCCTTCCCTTCCCTTCTCTCTGTCCCGCCCTCACCTGGAATCCGCCAGTGGAGAGAGCCCAAAGCAGGGTGAGTGAAGGGGTGCGCCGGGCTCTCCCCTCTTTCCTGAGAGTTGTTTTCTGTTTGCTTGTGGCTGATGAGCCTGGGGCTGAGCTGATGGGGGGAGGCCCAGAAGGGGACACCAGGGGCCCTGCCCTCACACGGGGCAGGTGGGGGGCTTTGCATGTGGGAACACACTTCTTTTTTTTTTTTTTGCTTTTGGGTCACACCGGCGATGCACAGGTGTTACTCCTGGCTCATGCACTCAGGAATTACTCCGAGGTGCTCGGGGGACGCTATGGGATGCTGGGAATTGAACCCAGGTTGGCTGTGTGCAAGGCAAATGCCCTAACCGTTGTCCCCGGGGAACACACTTATAAACTAGCTTCTGATTATATTTTTGCTTCTTTTGGGGGGGGTAGAGGGCATCTCTCAAGTGGGCTTAAAGGCTCTGGTCAGCAGGTCACTACCAGGGCCACTTGCTACTGCCCTGAAGTCCAGGCCCCACCCCCCAGAACTCAGAGCCAGGCAGAGCTGGGAATGTAACCCAGGTAGAAGACTGGAGCCCAGTAGCCCAGCGGGAGGGTGCTGGCCTTGCATGTGGCTGACCTGGGTTCGATCCCCGGCATCAATTGACCTTTGTGTCTTTGCCCAGCCCACTGATCTGTCGTTTTGCCTCCCATTCATGGACCAGTCAGACCCCATCCTCCCTCCCTCCTCTCTCCTCTCTCTCGCTCTCCCTCTTGTACTCTCTCCCTTTCCCTCTTTCTCTCTCTTCCTCTCTCTTCTCTCTCCCTTCTCCCTCTCTCCCCCTCCCTCTCCTGTCCCTCTCTCCCCGCCCTCCCTCCCCCACCCACCTCTCTCTTTTTAGTTTTTGGTCACACCTGCTGGTGCTCATTGGTGCTCCCAGTGCAGTGCTCCATTGTCGTGCTGTCTCTTCTGCCCCTCTGTGCCCTCAGTCGTGTGCTGCCCCCGGAGCTGCCCTGATTGGGTCCCTACCAGCCCTGAGACCAGCTTGGCAGATCCGGGTTCTGCCCCGGACAGCCCGTGCTGGGCTCGGCACCGCCAGGCTCCCAGGGGCCGGGCTGTGTCCTAGTGCCAGCCTGTGTCTGGCTGGGTAGTGCCCAGGGCGTATCTGCCTCCCTCAAGACTGTTCCCCTTGGCATCTGGTGTGCTTACTGAGGGAGTACTCAGGGCTGACTCCCGGCTCTGTGCTCAGGGCTCACTCCTGGCTCTGTGCTCAGGCCTGACTTCTGACTCTGTGCTCAGGGCTGACTCCCGGCTCTGTGCTGAGGCCTGACTGCCGGCTCTGTGCTCAGGCCTGACTTCCAGCTCTGTGCTCAGGGCTGACTCCCAGCTCTGTGCTCAGGGCTGACTTCTGGCTCTGTGCTCAGGCCTGATTTCTGGCTCTGTGCTCAGGGCTGACTCCCGGCTCTGTGCTGAGGCCTGACTTCTGGCTCTGTGCTCAGGGTTGACTCCCGGCTCTGTGCTCAGGACTGACTCCCGGTTCTGTGCTCAGGGCTGACTCTTGGCTCTGTGCTCAGGGCTGATTCCCGGCTCTGTGCTCAGGAATGACTCCTGGCTCTGTGCTCAGGAATGACTCCTGGCTCTCTGCTTAGGGCTGACTCCTGACTGCATGCAGGACCAGCTCCTCACAGGCTGTGTGTGTGTCCAGCTGTTATTGGGCTGGGATGCGGGTGCTGCCTGGCCACGACGCATCCGTTGTCCCCTTGTTGCAGAGCGTGTCCCCCTCACCCCCAGAGTCGGTGGATGAAGAGCGACCGAGCGGCCTGGGGGGCAGCGGGAAACCGAGAGTGGAGGAGAAGGAAGTGGCGGGGCCCTACGTGAGTGGGGGGCTGGTGGGGGCTGGGGGTTATCTGCAGGCTTGGGCTTATCTCTCTCCTCTCCCAACTTGGGGCCCCCTGAATCGTCATGTGCTGAGACCCCAGAATCCGGCACACCAGGGAGGGGGCACTCTGAATGGGTCCCTGCACCCTGTCTCAGATGTCGGGGGGCCTCTGACCAGGATGCCCCCCCTCTGCCACCCCTCCCCTCCAGGAAAGTGACGAAGACAAGAGTGATTATAACCTGGTGGTGGACGAGGTCAGTGGAACGGAGGGCTCAGGGGAAAAGGGGCAAAATTCCTGAGTTGTGGGGGGATCCCTGGTCCCCTCCCTACGGTGGGGGGTGTGAGGGGGAGTAAGGAGGATGCAGGACCCTCCCCAGGGCGATGGAGGCCTGTTCACAGTGCAACTGGGGAAACTGAGGCCCGGCAGTGATCAGACGTGGGCTGCAGCCTTGGCGAGGTGGCTCAGGTTGTGCAGGCGGGCGCCCCGAGTTCTGTCCTCGGCATCCCCTTCCGGGTCTGGCTCCCTGTGTGACCTTGAGGGTGTGGACCCCCATTGCCCCCACTGTGGGTGTTGGTCCAGGGCACTGTCATACCCATCATGCAGATGGTAAACTGAGTCACGGAGCTTCCCACAGCCATGGTGGGTGCCTGATCTACAGATTTATGTGGGGTTGGGGGGTGCTTGGGGGCTAGGGGAGGACCTCTCCTTTCTACTTCCTTGCCCACGTCATCGCCTCAAACCCAAGGACCAGCCCTCAGAGCCCCCAAGCCCAGCCACCACCCCCTGCGGAAAGGTGCCCCCCTGCGTCCCCACGCGGCGTGACCTCGTGGACAGTCCGGCTTCCTTGGCCTCCAGCCTCGGCTCCCCGCTCCCCAGAACCAAGGAACTTGTCCTGGTAAGGAGGAGTGGGCGCGGCGGGGTATGACACCCACACGTTTGTTGGGGTGGGGGTGTCCGGAAACAGATTCTGGCTCCCCTTAGCCACGAGGCGGTGAGGGACCACCAGGGCTGGTCTGGGGGCTCTGTTGGGGTTCCCAGCACCCCAAGGGCCTATGAGCACAGCCAGGACACCTGCTTAGCACAGACCTGGGAATTAGCCCCCAGGGACTGTGAAATGTGGCCCCAAGTCAGAACCACAAGGAGAGGGAGATGGTAAGGAGACCCGGATCAGGGTCAGAGCAGTAGCACAGCAGGGAGGGCGCTTGCCCTGCACGTGGCCAACCTGGGTTCCATCCCCGGCACCCTGTAGGGTTCCCTGAACCCCACCAGGAGTGATCCCTGAGTGCAGAGCCAAGAGTCAGCCCTGAGCACTGCCGGCTGTGGTCCCCAAACCAGATCAAAGCCCAACCCAACCTCTCCCTACCTTCCCAGGAAACCAAGTGCCCCACACCAATTGGAAATGCTTGGGAAATATTAGCACTTGATTAAGGAGCCACACCCAGAAGTGCTCAGGGATGACTCCTGGTTCTGTGCTCAGGGGATGCTAGGCAGCGCCGGAGACTGAGCCTGGGTGGATCATGGGCAGGGCAAGTCCCCCAAGCCCACTGCCCAGTGCTCTTTCTCCAGCCCTCAGTTGCCTTCTTTAGGGGACCCCATCTCCCCTATGGGCACATCCCCTCTGGTACCCCCGGGATTCCACACTGCAAGCCTGTGCAATTCTTTTGGTTGGTTTTGTTTTGGGGTCACATCCAGCAGTGCTCAGGGCTGACTCCTGGCTCTGCACTCAGGGGTCACTCCTGGTGGTGCTCAGGGGACCCTGTGGGTTGCTGGGGATTGAACCTGGGTCGGCTGCTTGCAAGACCAGTGCCCTCCTCGCTGTGCTATGGCTCCTACTTTGAGTGTGTGTGTGGATGTGATTGTGTGTGAGTGAATGACTGTGAGTCTATGTGTGTGTATTTGTGTTAGTGTGTGTGATTGTGTGTGAGTTGTGTGAGTGTGATTGTGTGTGAGTTGTGTGTGTGATTGTAAGTTGTGTGTGAATGAGTGTGGATGTGTGTGAGATTGTGTGATTATTTGTGAGTTGTGTGTGTGAATGAGTGTGTGAGTGTGTGTTTGTGTGTATGTGTGAGTGTTTGTGTGTCAGTGAAAGTGTGAGTGTGAATGAGTGTGTGTATGTGTGTGTTTGTGTGTTAGTGGTTGTTATTGTGTGTGCATATGTGTTTGTGTATGAGTGTGTGTGAATGAGTGTGTGTATGTGTGTTTGTGTGTGTTTGTGTGTGTGCTTGTGTGTGTGTGTGTGTGTGTGTGTGTGTGAAGGGGGAGAGGCCCACTCCTGGCAGTGCTCACGGCTTCCTCCTGATTTCTGTGCTCGGCATTTAGGCGCCTCCAGCCCCCTACCCGGTTCGGCCGGCCGGGCTGCAGGCACGTGCAGCGCGCCCTGTCTCCTTGTCTCCGCAGAGTGACCTTCCCGCCGGCACCCCTGCCCCCAAGTCCTGCGACTCCTCCCCGCCCCAGGAGGCGTCCACGCCCGGGCCCAGCTCTGCCAGCCAGCTCCGCCAGCTCGCCGCCAAGCCCATGCCCTCCACGGAGAGCGTCGGTGGGTGCCGCCCGCAGTACCCCCCCACCTGCTAGCTGTGTGTGGGCCTCCCGCCCAGCCTCCTCAGAAGTGGTCTGGGAGCCGGGTGGGAGGTGGGAGGCGTGCGATGGCACCTCTGTCCCAGCTGCCAGAGCGACACTTGCCTTGCCCAGATGATGAGGGCCCTGGGTTCCATCCACCACATCGCCACCAAGGAAACCAAAGAGAGGCTGGAGCAATAGTACAGTGGGGGAGGGCGCTGGCCTTGCTCGTGGCCCACTTGGGTTCGATCCCTGGCATCCCATAGCATCCCCCACGCGCAGCCAGGAGTAATTCCCAAGTGCAGAGCCCTGCGTTCTCCTGAGCATTGCTGGGTGTGACCCAAAAAGCCTGTAGCACTGTCCTCCCATTGTTCATCAATTTGCTCAAGTGGGCCGAGTAACGTCTCCATTGTAAGACTTGTTGTTACTGTGTTTTGGCATATCGAATACATCACGGGGAGCTTGCCAGGCTCTGCCGTGAGGGCAAGGTAGCTTCCCGGGCTCTCTGAGAGGGGCAGAGGAATCAAACCCGGGTTGGCCGGGTCCGCTGCGTGCAAGGCAAACGCCCTACCCCCGTGCTATTACTCCAGGCAAACTCAAAAAGCCTAAATTAATAAATTTTTTTTTAAAAGAGGGAAAAACAAACAGAGACACCTCCCCTCGGGGGGCTGCCTTCCCATGCTGTTTCCTGGTCTAGGCTGGATGTGTGAGGAAACTGAGTCCCTGAGAGGGGAAAGTGCTAGAAGGACAAGACTTCTTTTGCTGAGGGGGGCCTCACACCAGGCAGTGCTCAGGGCTGACTCCTGGCTCTGTGCTCAGGGATCACTCCTGGCGGTGCTCGGGGTGAACCTATGGGATGCCGGGGATCAAACCCAGGTCAGCCTCATGCAAGGCCAGAGCCCTCCCTACTTGCCTATTATTTCGGTCCCTAAAAGGATGAGCTTTCTTTGTTTATATTTGACTCTGGGGGCCAAGTGAGGTGGTGCTCAGGACAAAGTGCTCCCTGCTCTTGATGCATGCGAGTCACTCCTGGTTGTGCCAGGGATTGAATCCAGGTCCCCTGCGCTCCAGCCCTGGGGGTAATCTCTCGGACTCCTCTGAAGACAAGCTTTGCATCAGACAGGCAACAGCCTCGCAGAAACTGTGATCTAGTCCCTCTGCGTCAGTTTCCCCAGCTGTAATATGGAGAGGATGATGCAATTTCTGATGGTTGTAGGGCCTGACTGTTGGTTCTGGGCATTCAGAAGATCAGTCCCCTGAAACCTGCCCCTTCAGAATCTTGTTGGTGGAGGAGGAGGAAATTCTCCCCTAACTTCTCCCTCAATGCAACACTCCCACCATTAACTCTGCAAAATACAAAAAGATCAACAAAGCAACAGTCTCAGAGCCTTGTATATAGAACAGAGACTGGGTCCAGATGGGCTGGGTCAGGGCTGACAGGTGAGCAGACAGGTGTGAGAATGTCCCAAAATGCTGCCAGTTATCATCGTTGTTTTTTTTTTTTTTTTGCTTTCTGGGTCACACCCGGTGATGCACAGGGGTTACTCCTGGCTCATGCACTCAGGAATTAACTCCTGGCGGTGCTCAGGGGACCATATGGGATGCTGGGAATCGAACTCGGGTCGGCCGCATGCAAGGCAAACGTCCTACTCGCTGTGCTATTGCTCCAGCCCCTCTGGTTTGGGTTTTGAGGGATAAGTAGGAGTTCGTTTTTTTTTGCTGGAGGGGTAGGGAGCAGCGGGTGTCTCCCCAGAAAGACCCAGGGGCTGTCCCCCAGGGCTGTGGGAAGTGAGAGCAGGTGTCTGAACACTCTCTGTCTCCCCTTCCTCAGCCCTGAGGAGCCCCCTGACCCTGGCCAGCCCCTTCACCACGTCCTTCAGCCTGGCCTCCCACAGTGCTCTTAATGGAGACCTCTCTGTGCCCAGCTCCTATGTGAGTCTCCACCTGTCCCCACAGGCCAGCACCTCTGTGGTCTATGGACGCTCCCCCATGGTGAGTCTGGGTCGAGGGACGCCTGCAGGGTCCAGGCACTGGGGCGACTAAGGGAGACCAGTCCCACAAGGACGGGCCACGGGCTGGGCAAGGGGATATGAGAGGAAGGTCTGAAGGTCTTAGTGGCTCCACGAGCTTGTCCCATCCTTCCACGGGGAATAGAGTGCCTGGCACTGGAGACCGGGTGGGCATTTGGGAGGGATGTGGTCAAAAAAGGGGTTGGCAAAGGTTCTCTGTAATGCATCAGAGAGAAAGTATTCTTGGCAGACCCCAGCTGTCGGTACTCAGAACACTGCCTGCCAGTGGAGTCATGTGTCAATAAAACTTTATTGACAAAACAAGCAGGGAGCCAACGTTTGCTGATTCATTCTGAGCACCCTCAGAAGGCTGCAGGAAGGCTGGAGCAGTAGTATGTTTGAGGATGGGGCCAGGGGTAGCAAAAAGGCTTTCTGATTCTTTTTGTTTGGGGGCCACACCAGGGCTTATTCCTGGCTCTGTGCTCAGGGATCATTCCTGGCAAGCTTGGGGGACCTTATGGGGGGCCGGAGAGCAAACCTGGGTCGGTCTCATGCAAGACGGGTAGCCACCCCGCTGTACTACTCTTGCTCCATCCCTGACTTCATGATTCCAGCCGCTGGAGTATGGCTAGAAAAGGAACATTTTGCTCTCAGGGGAAGGAGGGGTAGACAGATGGGGGAAGGCGGGGGTTGAGCAACAGGGTGTGCATCCATACCTACCACCACAAACGGGTGGATATGTGAGGGTACACGAGGGTTGGAGTCACCCGCCCTGTTACCCCCACTTTGGCGTCTTGACAGATGGCATTTGAGTCTCACCCACATCTCCGCGGATCATCCATCTCTTCCTCCCTGCCCACTATCCCTGGCGGCAAGCCGTGAGTACCGGGTGAGGTGGGGGATACTACTCAACATCCTACAGGGCTCCCCACAACCCCCTAGAAAGCACACTGCCTCCAAATACCCCCAGAACTCTGCCCTGCGGGGAATGTTCTCCACCCTCCTGGCGGTAGGTGCTGAATGCCATCTGAACTGCCTCTCGCATGCCTCTCGCAATGGCAGTGCCCAGAGGAGGGCACATTTCCTCGAGGTTGCCCCCGGGTTTCCAGCAGCTGCATCTCCTGGAGGTGCTGCCTGCCCCTCCCCCCTCCTGTGTTCCCCCACATTAATGACCGCTGAACTAGGCACCCCCCAGCCCAGCAGCAGGCGCACCTCCTGCTTCCTGGACCCCACCCTTGCAGCATGACCCTCCCCAGCAGGGCCTACTCCTTCCACGTGTCGGCAGACGGCCAGATGCAGCCCGTGCCCTTCCCATCTGACGCGCTGGTGGGCACGGGCATCCCGCGGCACGCGCGGCAGCTGCACACGCTGGCCCATGGCGAAGTGGTGTGCGCCGTCACCATCAGCGGCTCCACGCAGCACGTGTACACGGGTGGCAAGGGCTGCGTGAAGGTGTGGGACGTGGGCCAGCCTGGAGCCAAGACCCCGGTGGCCCAGCTGGACTGCCTGGTGAGAGGGGCGGAGCCTGCCGGGCAAAGGGGCAGGGCGTATGGGAAAGGGGCGGAGTTATACGAAAGGGGGCGGGGCTTGCAGAGCACCGGCCCTTTGCAGGCAATGGGACTGCTGATCTTACAGTGAAGAGGAGCGGGGCTTAGGGGGAAGAGGGCGTGGTTACAAGGAAGTTGGGCAGGGCGTGTAGTGGAATGGGTGGGGCTGCAGGAAAATGGGTGGGGTCACAGAAGAGTGGCCGGGTTTCCAGGGCATAGGCTCTTTCAAGGCAATGGGGCAGGGCTTAAATCACAGGGGGGCGGGGTTTAAAGGAAAGAGGGCGGGGTCAAAAGGAAGTTCAACTCAATGGGTGGGGTTTACAGTGCGAGGGGCGGGGTGTGCAGTGAAGGAGGGTGGGGTCACAAAGGAGAAGGGCGGGGCTTGTAGGGCAGAAGCCCTTTCAAGGCAATGGGGCGGGGCTTGAGAAGTGGGGCGGGGCTTGCAGGATTGACAGTACAGAGGGGCTTACTTGGCAGGGGTCCTGACATGGCAATGGGGTGGGCCTGCATTGATGTGGAGGCTTCAGGTCCCAGGAAAAGGAGTGGCAGAACAGTGGAGAGGGGTCTGGATGGCAGTGACAGGGCAAATGGGGTGGGGCGGGACTTATAGACCATGGGGGTGGGGCCTTCGGATAAAAGGGTGGGGCCATAGGAAAGCAATGGGTGGGGCGTCCTTTGACACAGGAGACCAGGCTGGCCAAGGTTCCTGCTGGGCATTAAGTTCGGGGATCCAACCCCCCACTCCCTCCCTCCCCTCACCGCCCCAGAACCGGGACAACTACATCCGTTCGTGCAAGCTGCTGCCGGACGGCCGGAGTCTGATCGTGGGCGGTGAGGCCAGTACCTTGTCCATTTGGGACCTGGCGGCGCCCACCCCCCGCATCAAGGCCGAGCTGACCTCCTCAGCCCCGGCCTGCTACGCCCTGGCTGTCAGCCCGGACGCCAAGGTCTGCTTCTCCTGCTGCAGCGACGGCAACATCGTGGTCTGGGACCTGCAGAACCAGACCATGGTCAGGTACCGGTCATCCCTGGCGGGGGGCGGGGGGTGATGGAGGGGACGATAGGGCTGTGGTGGGGGGCATGGTGGCAGGGCTCAAGCGAGCCCCTCGCCATTCCCTGGGATGCTTTTGCGGGGGGTGCCCGTGGCTGGCGAGGAACATTTCTGGGCTCTTCTCCACCAGGCAGTTCCAGGGCCACACGGATGGTGCCAGCTGTATCGATATTTCCGACTATGGTACACGGCTCTGGACAGGGGGCCTGGACAACACAGTCCGCTGCTGGGACCTGCGGGAGGGCCGCCAGCTGCAGCAACACGACTTCAGCTCCCAGGTGCCACCTGCGGACGGAAGCCTGGGAGAGGTTCCCTCCTCACCTTCTGGGCCCCTGGGGGGCAAAGGCTGGTTCCATCTACCCCTGTCACAGCCTGAGGGCTCCCCCTGGCATGCCCGAGGGCGCACGTGGGAAACCCAAAGCGTCCCAAAGTGTCTAATTCTTTCTGGGTTTTGTTTTCGGGGCCACACCCAAGTATGCTCAGGGCTTGCTCTTGGTTCTGCACTTAGAGATCTCTCCTGGTGGTGCCGAGGAACCAGATGAGGTGCCGGGGATAGAACTTGGGTCAGATATGTCTCAGCTGACCTTGATTGAACCTGGGGCCACTCAGACATGCAGATCATCTTATTCTTTTTTTTTTTTTTGCTTTTTGGGGTCACACCCGGTGATGCACAGGGGTTGTTACTCCTGGCTCTTCACTCAGGAACCACCCCTGGTGGTGCTTGGGGGACCATATGGGATGCTGGGAATCGAACCCGGGTTGGCCGCATGCAAGACCCTACCCGCTGTGCTATCGCTCCAGCCCTGTAGATCATCTTCTTGCTGTTGGTCCTTCCCCCTTCCCGCCCCGCGCCATTTCCCCCCAACCCCTGTTCCTTTGTCTTTCCCTGATTTTGAACTTTTTTTTTTTGAGTGTTTCTCACCCTCTCTAGTCTGGACGCATCATGGGGGAGCCACTGACCCTGGAGAGGAGAGCAGGAGTTGGCCAGAGAATCGAGGGTGCTGTGGGAGGCTGGGATGGAGGATGTGGTGGATGCAGGGAGCATCTCTGGACTAGAGCACAGATGTGGGCCCCTGTCCATCCCGTCCCCCTAGAATTTAGAAGCAGGTGCCAATTCCTTAACCTGTTATTCAGGTCCTCCCAGAGGTCAAGCACCATTTGACCTGTTTACCTGTTTCCTCTGGCCAATATGACTCTTTTTTTTTGCTTTTTTGGGTCACACTCAGCAATGCACAGGGGTTCCTCCTGGCTCTGCATTCAGGAGTTACTCCTGGCGGTGCTCAGGGGACCATATGGGATGCTGGGAATCGAACCCGGGTCAGCCGCGTGCAAGGAAAACGCCCAACCCACTGTACTATCTCTCCAGCCCCACCTTTTTCCTTTCTTTTCCTACTCCCCGACTCCTGTTCATCCTTCAAAACCCATCCCAGGTACCCCTCACTTGCCAGGGAGCTATAGTCTCTAGCTTTAGCTCTATGCCTTTCATAAGGAAATGGGGTGGGGAGTGGATACAGTGCCTTATGTCCCAGTTCCTGGACCTTAAATGGGTGTGTGCTTCCCTGGGGATCCCAGAGCAAGCACCAGGTCCTACTCACCTCTAACCTCATCTTTATTTTTTAAAAATTCTGGGGGAGGGACCCCCATAAAATGACTATTCCTGGCCTTGAACTCAGGGACCATTTCTCGCGGTGCTCAAGGGACCCGATGGAGTGTCTGGGATTTAGCCTGGGCCGGCCACGTGCCAAGCTAGCACCCTCCCCACTGTCCTATCGCTGGGCACCCCCAGGCCTGTCTTTACACAAGAGCACTTATCCATGGCTGAGAATCTTGTGGAACCTTCTTTCTGTTTGTTTGTTTTTCGGCCACACTGGGCAGTGCTTAGAGCTTACTCCTGGCTCTGTGTTCAGGGATCACTCCTGGAGGGGCTTGGGGGAGCCCCTATGGGATGCCGGGGATCAAACCCAGGTCTGCTGCGTGCAAGGCAAGCACCCTCCTCTCTGTCCTATGGCTCCGGCCCCTGGTTTTGCCCCCTGGCTCTGGTAGGGTGTAGGGACTCTCTCCTTTCTGCACCTGGCCAGGAGCGGAGCGTGTTAGGGACAAGGCTATGGGTCTGTGCTAATCAGAGCCCAGGGCGCCGTGAGGCGAGTCGGGAATGTTCTGGGCTGGGAGTTGGAGGGCCTGGCCTTGGACAGACTTGCAGTGGGTGACCTTGAGCTGGCCATTGTCTCAGCCTCCGGGCCACCATCTGCTTACGGGAGCCGCTGTCCCCGGCCGGCCTCCCCCTCCCCCTCCCTGGTTGAGCTCTTGGTGCAGTTCAGGGCGGATAATGGATGTGAGGCCCCAGGGTTCCATGTAATTCTGATTAATATGAATGAGGTGACACGCAGTTGCCTGCTGCCTCCCAGGCCCTGGGCCAGCTGCCTCTCCAGTGTGGGGTGCGCTCCAGTGAGAGTGGGCAGACGGCCTCTCCTCAACCCGCTCTCCCCACTCCGCGGCCTGGGGGGCAGGTCTGTGCCCCACAATGCTCAGGGCCCGCTCCCAGCTAAATTATCACGCTCAGCTAGGCTGGGGGTCGCCAGGAAACAAACTCAAAAGTCCCACATACATAGCAGAAGCTCAGCCCTTTGTGCTGCCCCCCCACTTTTTTTTCTTTTTCTTTCTGAGTCACACCCAATGATGCACAGGGGTCATTCCTTTCTCTGCACTCAGGAATTACTCCTGGCGGTGCTCAGGAGACCATATGGGATGGTGGGAATCAAACCCGGGTCGGGTGTGCAAGGCAAATGCCCTACCACTGTGCTATTGCTCCAGCCCCTCCCCACTTTTGGGGGGTGGTGGTGGGGGAGAGCCATAACCAGTGATGCTCAGGGCTGACTCCTGATGGGGCTCGGGGACCCCTATGGGGTCCCAGGGATCAAACCTCAGGTCGTCTGCACATAAGGTAAGGTAAGCACCCTCCCCTGTGTCCCATCACTCTGCCCCGCCCCAGCTCCCTGCTTCTTCCCTCTTTGTGTCCCCAGATCTTTTCCCTGGGCCACTGTCCCAACCAGGACTGGCTGGCCGTGGGCATGGAGAGTAGCAACGTGGAGGTGCTGCATGTTCGCAAGCCAGAGAAGTACCAGCTGCATCTGCATGAGAGCTGCGTGCTCTCCCTCAAGTTCGCCTCCTGTGGTATGTGTGTGTGTGTGTGTGTGTGTGTTTTGGGGGGGGGGTGTGGAGAGCCGGGGCGCATTATATGCATGTCCACGCACACACTGACAAAACCAACCCTCCCCCCCGGCAAGCAAGAGATGACTCAGAGGCTGCACTCAGCCTTTGCCTGCAGGAGCTGGGTACCATGCGCTCCCCCAGCACTGCCAATAGGAGTGATCCCTGAGCACTGTCCAGTCAGGGAGAAAAACAAAACAAAAACCACTCAAGTGGCAGGGAAGGACACGTGGCTCAGGAGTAGAGCACCTGCATGGCGTGACCGAGGCTGCGGGTGTGATGCCAGCCATCGCCAAAAACAACCCCCTTTCCCCACAAAAAGAAAAAAACACATATCAGAGAGATTGCAGTATGGTAGGTAAATGCTTGCACGCAGCCGAACTGGGTTCGATCCCCTCCCTGGCACCTCATCAGGTTCCCCATCATCACCAGAAGTGATCCCTGGGAGCAGAGCCAGGAGTTAGGTCCTGAGCTGTGCCAGATGTGGCTCCAGAACTCAAAACCAAAATACCCACATCCAGGAGAGATGGATGCTTCATCCAGTGTGAGTGTCGGGGAAACCCCACAGCTTTTGTTCCAAATAGGTCTGTCATTGACTTAATGCTGAAATGAAAAAAGCAGGACTGGACAGATAGTACAGAGGTTAGTGCTGGCGGGCCACTCCCCCAGCCCTGCCAGGAGTAAGCTTGGATCACAGCCGGGTGTGGACCAATAACCAACACTGTCACTGTCCTCCTGTTGTTCATCGATTTGCTAGAGCGGGCCCAGTAACGTCTCCATTTTTTTTGAGACTTGTTGTTACTGTGTTTGGCATATTGAATACGTCACGGGGAGCTTGCCAGGCTTTGCCGTGTGGGTGAGATACTCTCGGTAGCTTGCCGGTCTTTTGCCTAAGATCAAGTGTAGTGTCTGTTCTTATCAGTTTAATAACTGAAAGGGAACAAAAAGAAATAGGGATCTATTTTAGGACACGCCTGTCACTGAAGGTGACTCAGCTTTTCCTGAGTTGCAGGTGTGACTGGGTCTTCTTTTGGCGGGGGAGGGGCATCACATCTGGCTCAGTGCTCTGGGGTCACTTCTGTTGGTGCTCAGGATGAAACCAGTGGTCTCTGCAAGCAGGCACGTTCTCTGGCCTTTTCAAAGGTCTCCCTTGCCCCATGGGTATTTAATCTGGCAACGCCCCCAGCCATGGGCGCCCCCTTCTTGAAAGCCATGGAGAATTTCACCATTCTGGAAAGTGAAGGGAAGGACTGAGCCTTTGCAACTCAAGAGGTGGCTGAAGGGGAGAGGCCAGACACAGCTGGTCCTGAGCCCTTCACCCCCAATGCCTCCCGGGAACTCTCCTGAGCAGAGCCCCCACCCCACTCCTGGAGCCATCTAGGAACCCTCCAGCGCCCCTACCCTGCCCCAGGTAGTCCTCTGGGACCTTCTAAACTCCGCTTCTGCTCCGCCTCCTGGCGTCCTCTGGGACCTGGTTCAGCCTTAGCCTCGCCCCCGAGACGCTTCCGGCCACGCCCCCGAGGCCTTCAGGGCCTTGTGCCCCGCCCAACCCCGCCCCTTGGCCACGCCCCAAGGCCCTCTGGGACTTGCGCTCCGCCCAGCTACGGTCCTTAGCCACGCCCCCGGACTCGTTTGGCCACGCCCTTAAGGCGTCCTCGCTTTGCTCCAGCCACGCCCCCCGGGGCCTCCCGCAACTCCTAAAGCTGGGGTCTTGTCTCTGGAGCGCCCACCTGGAACTGTCCCTATGCTGGTTACCACAGGGCGGTGGTTCGTGAGCACCGGAAAGGACAACCTGCTCAATGCCTGGAGGACACCATACGGAGCCAGCATTTTCCAGGTAAGTCCCGCGCAGGGACACGGAGGGGCTCTGCAGGAGGGGACCACACTTTTGCAGCCTTCTGCTTTTGGTGTGGATGCTGGCTTTGGGGGGCCCGGAAGCACGCCTGCTTTACTGGGGCCGGGTGGGGGGGGTGTGTCGGGACATCAGGGCCGCAGCCTGGCTTGTGTGTGTGGGCGCCGTGGTGGACCGAGGGTGGAAGCCAGGGCTCACATGTGCAAGGAACTTGCCTTCCACTGCCCCACGTTCGCCTGGCCCTGTTTTGATATTATTTTGGGACCACACCCTGGCAGTGCGTGATCGGTGTCCAGGATCCTTTGGGATGGGTCATCGAACTTGCGAGGCAGGCGCCCTCCCCGCTGGACCATCTCCCGGGCCCTGTGCACCGGCTCATAAGCAAGCAAGTTATGGGCCTTCCCCGGAGATTCAGCTCTGAGAAGCGACCATACCCTGACCTTGCTGTCACCTCCCCCCATCCTAAACCCTGCCTTGGTCCCAGCTGGAACCAGTCCATGGCCAGGCTAGGCTCTGACCCTATGGCTTTTCTGCTTGGTTCTGCAAGTGAAGCACCATAAGTGCCCGGGAAACTGGGGGGGGGGGGGGGTACACCTCACCCCCTCTCGCCTCTCCTAACCCCCGTTCTCATTCCTCCACCCTTTCCTGCCCACAGTCCAAGGAGTCCTCCTCCGTGCTCAGCTGTGACATCTCCGGGAACAACAAGTACATCGTGACAGGCTCCGGGGACAAGAAGGCCACCGTGTACGAGGTGGTCTACTGAGGGGGTGCCCTGCCCCGGCCAGGCTGGTTCAGGGGCTCTGCAGTGTCCCCCAGCATCTTCCTTTGTAGACTGTGGAGGTGAACACGTTGTACTCCCCCCTGTCCTCCCCCCCACCACCTTCCAGGGCTGGGTATGGGAACGGGAGGGGTCGGGGGCCCTTTGGGGGAAATAAATATTTATCACAGACACTGTTCTGTCACCTGGGGCCGAGACCAGGCTGCCTGCCGGGGATCCAGCTGCTCTGATGTGTATGAGATCCAGACCAGGGGGTGGAAACTAGCTGCATGGGTGAGATCTGGTGATATGTAGGATCCAGCTGTGTGTGTGTGGTGGGAGGGGATCTGGTCCCAGGGGGATGGCATTGTGTGTCATTGTGCCTATCTGGGAATCAGAAACTGCATTGGGGGATTTAGTCTTTTAAAAACCATGAGGGGCTGGAGTGATAGCACAGCGGGTAGGGCATTTTGCATTGCATGTGGCCAACCCGGGTTCGATTCCCAGCATCCCATATGGTCTCCCGAACACCGCCAGGGGTAATTCCTGAGTGCAGAGCCAGGAGGAACCTCTGTGTGTCGCCGGGTGTGACCCAAAAAGCAAAATAAAACACGGGAGGTCAGGGGGCCCATGCTGTGCTGTCAGGTAGGGACCCCCCTACCTTGCTGTTTCATGCGGGAGCCCTCACCCCCCCGCCAATGTGGCAACTATGGGTGTCCCCAGCAGTGGTTGGGTGTTCCCTATCGGCAGGGGAAAGGACAGGAATGGGGGAGGGGAGTGAGGATATAGGTTGATGGCTGGTGGCTTGGATCAGATTCCCTGAGTATGAGGAGGGCTGGGAGATGCTTGGGGGGAGGGCAAAAGTATCTACCTGGTTCCAGGGTGCAGTTGTGTCATGAGCAGTCCCTTGAGTGGTTTCCAGGTGCACACCGCACCTGAAGGGGGGTGACCCCCCCTCCCTGCTCCTGACAAGCGCCTCAGGAGTGGCCCCCTGGTGAGGAAGTGTACAAGCACTGTGTGCATGCGCAAGAAAGGCCCGAGATAAGGAGGAGAGGCCACAGCCCACCCTGGGGCATCTTCCCCATGGTGAGGAGAGGGCAGTGGCACAGAACCAGCCCAGCCCTGCCTTTTTCCAATGCTTTTATTGTGCAGACCCCAGTCTGCTGAGCCATCAGTACTGAATCTGGTATAAGGTGCAGTGGTTTCTGGAGCCCGTGATAAGGAGCCGGTCGTTCTGAGCCACATCACAACACACGATGCTGGAGGACCTGGCCACCTGCATAGCGAGGGTGCGGGGTGAGAGCCGGGGACCGCCCGTGGCCCCTTCTTCTTGCCTCTGCCCAGCAGTTCAAGCCTGGGTGCTCCCTGCTCCCCAATATCCCTGCCCTCCCCTATAGGCCTCCTCCACTGGCGCCCCGAGGTACCTGGAGCCCCGGCGTCCCTGCGGGCATGTGGTAGATACTGAGCAGGTTGTCCATCCCCACACTCACCCACCACTGGCCTGTTGGGGGCGGGGAGGGAGAGCAGTTATGGGAGAAAGGTGGAGGCTGTGGGTCAGGCCCCCAGGGACCCTGGAAAACAAGTGCCCCTTCCCTCAGGCCCCTGCAGAGAGTTTGTGGTTCCTGCTGGCCAAGGACTTTGGAGGGGCAGTTTGGAAATCTGAAAGGGTAGGGCCTGGTGAGAGGCTGGGGACCCCAGGGAACCCCACCTGCCTGGTTCCCAACTGCTCACCCTTCGGGGAGAAGGTGAGGTCCAGGATGGTGTCTTCCTTGCACCCCACCATCTGCCTCAAGCCCCCCGATGTGGGCTGCAGCCACTGCTGGCCGCTGCTGAGACCCACCAGCACAAAGTCCTCCTGGGGGTGGGGTGACAGGGCCGTTATCTGTGGACACAGGGGCGAGGGTACTAGTCAGGCCCAGGAACGTAGGTGCCCCTCAAGTTGGCGAGGACCTGCCCACCCACTGCCCATCCCTCCATCTCCAGCCTCAGCCCTGGGGGCCAGAGATAGGACAGTGGGGGAAGGTGTTTGCCTTGCAGACGGTGTACCTGGGTTCGATACCAGCATTCCTTACGGTCCCCCATGCACTGCCAGGACTGATTCCTGAGTGCAGAGCCAGGAGTAACCCCTGGGCACCAAAACCCAGACATTGGCTCTGGGGGAAATTTCCAGACATGTGTGGAAGTACCCAGAGATTACCCAGTGATCATCTGCTTGGTGTGTAGTGGTTTCAGAGATTCTTTGCTTCTTTGAAGCATCTCTGGGAATTGAAGCCACCCTCATCACAAGCAATCAGGTCCCCCCCCCGCCCCCCACACACCCACTTCCCACCACTTGCTATTCTGGTCTGTGCTGAGAGGCTCCAGAATTCACTACTGGCGTACCTGAGAATCAAACTGGTATTTCTGGGGTTCGGTGAGGTTCTGCAGGTCCCAGCACTGCAAGGATCCCTCCTGACTTCCTGCCCAGACCTGCTGATCCATCACCACTATCTTGGTGGCTGGGCTGGGGTTCGCCAGGTTACTGAGCAAGGAGAGACAGGGAACAAAGATACAGCTCGAGCACCTAAGCTTTGGGGCCCCCGGGACATCCCACCACAACTCCCAGTGGACAGAGGAGATCTGAGACCAGGCCTGAGGCTGGGGGATCTGGCTCAGACGCAGAGGAGCCGCGCGCAGGTACTCAGGGCTGTACCTGACCACCTGCCCACTCCGTAGGTCCCAGATCCTGATGATGCCGTTACTTAGGCTGCCCAAAGCCAGGTTGTTCTCGAGGCTGGAGGCCAGGGCCTGACAGGCGAAGCCTGAGGAGGGCAACTTGCTCTTCATGTGCAGGGTGGGCGCCTTCAGGTCCCACACACTCACGCCCGCCACGCTGTTGCCAGCCATCAGCAAGGTAGTGCTATCAGATGTCAGGTGACAGGTGTGCACCATGGAGCCCTGGGTCTGAAACAGGCATCCCAGGGTGAGCCAGCCCCGCCCCCAGAGAAGCCCCACCCAGCCAGCCCCACCCCCAGGGACACAGTCCCGCCTCCCAGGTCAACCCTGGCCAGTCAGACGGCCCTGCCAAGGCAGCCAGCCCCACCCCTGAGAAGCCCGCCCACTTACCCCCACCCCAGGGACAAAGCCCCACCCCCAGGGCCAGCCTAGCCACTCAGACAGCCTTGCCCCGAGAAGCCCCGCCCCCAGCGCCAGCCCCACCCCACTCACCTGTATATGCAGATGAGTTTCTGGCACCGGGTTCTCCACAGTCTGACTGGCTAGGCTCCACACCTTGACTCCATCGCTGCCACAGGTGAATGCATGGCGTGTGAAGCTGCTGAGTGCGGTGGCCAGCACGGGCGTCCCGTGTTTCAGCTTCCAAATCTTCTCCAACTTCTGGGGCACACGGACCTTTGTGGATTGTGAGGACAGACTATGCGTCCTTCCCCACTCTTCATCGTTGTCTTCTGAGTCCCAGGATCTGTGGGTGGGGAGGCCCTGGCGTCACTGGCCTGCTCGTAAGCCCCTGTGCCCGGAGTCAGGCACTTATTAAACCCCATGTAAAAAAATCTTGGGGCTGGTGCGATAGCACAGCGGGTAGGGCATTTGCCTTGCATGTGGCCGACCCGGGTTCGATTCCCAGCATCCCATTAGGGTCCTCTGAGCACCGCCAGGGTAATTCCTGTGTGCAGAGCCAGGAGTAACCCCTGTGCATCGCAGATTGTGACCCCAAAAAAGCAAAAAAAAAAATCTTATTTAACTTCTGGGTTCTCTCAGATGCCCTCTAAACACTATAGTACACTTTCCCCATGGTCCTACTCAGACCTTTCCAATATCATCCCCTCCCATAATCACTTTTCTTCTGTCTAGGAAACTGATGTCAATGCATAGGGCAGTAGGCCTTGCATATACCAGGTTTCAATTCCCAGGATCCTAGATGGTCCCTCAGGCCCACCAGGAGTGATCCCTGGCACCAAGCCAGGCGTAAACCCTGAGCACTATCAGGTATGGCCTGAAAAAAACACAAAACCAACACCCCCAAATAACCGGGCCCTATGCCAGCAAACGCCTATTCATCCTTCAAAACCTTAACCATCATGTCCCGCCTCACTCCCATCTGTCCCCTTCCCCTAGCTGAGGGTTGGGACAGCTTGCACCCAGCTCTGACACACCGAACCTCCATCCTCCTTCCCCAAAACCCTGGAGCCCAGAGCTGGTTTTGTGGGGCAGGGGTGGTTGGCACAAACAATTCAAGTCTTCTGCTCAGCCTCTTGGTGATCGGCGGGAAAAATGGCCATTCCCCTCCCACTCGGCTCTACCTGCCCAGAACTGCGGACCAGAGCGGAGGAGAAGCAGGCACTCACATGGATTTCGGAAGTTGTTGGAATATGCTCCCGGGCTCCTGTGGGTGGAGATGGTGGCAGCAGGGCCCATCCGCTCCATCCGGCCCAGCCCTCCCTCCCTCCCCAGCTCTATGGGGCATGGCCCGACTGCACCTCACCGTGACCCGGGGAAGGGTGTCCCCACCCAAACCTCCTTGGATGCGGTGTCCCCTAAGCAGGTCCTCTTGGTGGGGCTGGGTGTGATGGGTGCTTGGCGGGACTGGGCAGAGACAGGATAAGCGGCAGGGCTGCCGCACACCTGCACCCCTCCAAGCCGGGCCTCCTGCCCAGCTGCCCCTGACCATGAGATTACCAGAGTAGCGGCCGCTGCATGGCTTCTCTCCTGAGCAGGAAAGTCCAGGGGCTTGGTCTTCGTGCCCTTGAGAGACTGGAGAGAAGCAGGTCAGTAGAGCAGAGCACCTGTCCTAGGCAGACCTCAGCACCGGAGGGAAAAGCCCCCGAGGGGAGGCCCGGGCAGGGGCCCTGCGGGCTGGCACCAGCTCTCAGGAGGCGATGCTAGCTGTGGGAGGTGCTGGGGTAATCCTGGGGCGGGGCCTAACAGAGGGCGGGGCTGACGATGCAAGGGCGGGGCCAGGGAGTCCTGGGGGCGGGCCGGCTCAAGGAGCTGGCCTATGGGGTAGGGCCTGTTAAAGGAGGCGGGGCCTAATAAGGGATGAGGCCAACCCACGGTCCGAGGATGTGTCCCTGATCCACTGATCAGCCTTCCTGGGACCAAGTATTGGGGTCACTTACCGTGCCTGGTGCCTGTTCTGCTACCGAGGAAGCTAAGGGTGAGAAGGAGCAGGGTACGGTTCAGACATCCTTCCAGTGGACACCCCCTGTACCCCCACCCCACCACTTTCCCTTTATTCTCAGGGACACTCACGACCTTCTGCTGGCAAATCCCTGTTAGGAATTTCAGTAAACTGCGACCGCGGTTGCTTCACGTCCGGCTTGGCATCTGGCTGCTGGGGGCCCATAGCCCCTCCACCCTCTCTGGATGGCTGCCCGGAAAAGGGGTACATTCTTGTGGTCAGTTCGTGGTTGTAATCTTGAGGCTGAGGTTGATGGGAGGCCAGACCCTGAGCTCCCCGGGCTGTGAAGCTTGGGGAAACAATTGCCCCCCACCACACACACCTGTTGGTCTGTTCCCCAGGGAGAGTGGCTTTGCTAGTGCCAACTTCTTGCAACCCAGAACCTACCTGTCCAGTCTGGATGGTGATATATTGGCTGTGGGCATTCAAAATTTGCAGGAACCCTTGTGCCTAAATGTAAGGGATGGGATGGTCCGCATTAAGAGGTCAAAGCAGGGCTGGAGTGATAGCACAGCGGTAGGGTGTTTGCCTTGCACGCAGCCGACGCGGGCGACCCGGGTTCGATTCCTCGGCCCCTCTTGGAGAGCCGGCAAGCTACCGAGAGTATCTCTCCTGCATGGCAAAGCCTGGCAAGCTACACATTATGTATTTGATATGCCAAACACAGTAACAAGTCTCACAATGGAGACGTTACTGGGCCTGCTCGAGCAAATCGATGAACCCAAAAAGCAAAAAAAAAAAAATAGAGGTCACAGCAGGGAGGGCGCTTGCCTGGCAGGGACCCAACCTGGGTTCAATCCCCACTGGGTCCCCTCTCCCCCCCCAGCACCACCAGGAGTGATTCCTGAGTGCAGAACCAGGAGTCAGCCCTGAGCACTGCCAGGTGTGGCCCCAAAAATAAAACAAAGAGTGGGGGCCAGCAGGGAGGGTGCTTGCCCAGGTTCAATCCACAGCAACCAATTAGGTCTCCTGAACCCCACCAGCAATGATCCCTAAGCACAGAGCACAAAGTAACAAAGTAAAATGCAATCCTGGACCAGGGAGATGATGGACAGGGCAAAAAGCCCAGGCCGATGGCTCCCTGAACACTGGCTGCCAAGCCCTGAGCACTGCTGGGGTGACCTCACAAACCAACGAAGAAAGATGTGTTCACGTGACTCCCCCAGTTCAAACCTTAGGGTTTTTTTTTTTTTGCATCAGGTTAGTTCTGGCTCTACACTCAGGAATGACTCCTGGCGGTGCTCAGAGGACCATATGGGATGCTGGGAATCGAACCCCAGTCATGTGCAAGGCAAACACCCTACCCACTGTGCTATCACTCGAACCTTAGAGTTCTTGGGCTTAATGGGAATAGGGTTAGGTCTCTTAAGTGCCCCTTTCCTCCTGGCCATGCCCACTGTCTCCCAGCTGCGCCCATTCTGAGGCCCAAAGGGCTGTTAGCTAGAACTGGAACAGGAAATGAGAGCCCCACCCCCTGGGGCCAGGATTCACCCCTTCTGGCCTCCAGGAGCACAGTGCAGGTCTCCAGCCTGTATGGGTATCGTTTTGTACCCCAGAAGCATTGGGGGGTCCCCCAAGTTCTCCAGTCCTGGACACATGGTCCTGGTTCAGGGAGAAGAACTGCTAGTGAGATCAGTTCCGTGGGACCAAGGTCCAGAGGACCCAGTTTCACCAGTCAGAGAGGGGTGATGAGTGGAGGGCCAGTGGCCAGGATGAGAGCGTTCCCCTCCCCCTCTCAAGTCCTCAGCTTGCCCCAGGCTGCTGCCTCCCAGGGGCCCTGAATGATGGATTCCCCAGCGGGGCCTCCAGGCAGCCTGCCCCACCCCCCCAGCCTTCCCCCAATTCACCGGGGCTCGTTAATGTGCAATTTACTGGCACTTTAATGCACTCAGCAGGAAAAGCTCGGTTGCTCCTGCCTGCCCAGGGCCTCCCGGGGGAACTGCATCCAGAAGGCAGACACACACACACACATGCAGACACGCAGAGGTGGGGTATGGGGCAGGGGGGCCAGGCTGTGGAGGTTTGAAATGCAGTCAACCTGAGGCTGAACGGAGAGAGAAACGGGAGGCGCACGTGGGGTGGGGTGTTCTGTGCCTTGGGAGGAGGTAGAGGATGCAACGTAGCTCCTGAGCGTGCAACCCCCCGGAGGTTGAGGGAACACAACAGCAGCTCATCTTGGGCCTGACCCCCACCACGTCCAGGAAGTACCCAGGTCCCTCCACAAACTCACCGCCAATCTGACCACGGCTCATTTGCCCAGATCCACCCGGCAAGCCCCACTCCAGCCCCTCTGCTTGCCCTCCCCGCGGCTGCCAGCAGAGAGCGCCAGCGAGGAGCCGGGCCGGGCCCCGCACTCCGATGCTCACCACCCGCCCGGCCGAGACCACCCGTGTACCTGTGCCCACCAGGCAGGCCCCGCACCAGCCACCCAGGCTGTTCCTAGATCCTCCCAAGCGCCAGCCCCCTTCCTGCCCCAGGGCCTTTGCAGGGCCCTGATCTCCTTCAGGGGGAGCTGGTTTATGGCGCCAGAGTGATAGCACAGCAGGGAGGGCATTTGCCTTGCTCATGACTCACCCTGACAATCCCGAGGGTCCCCCCCACCACCTCCAGGGGTCAGCCCTGAGCATCACCGGGCGTGGCCACCCAAAACAGGCTGGAGGGAGAGTAGAGAAAAGGGGGCACTTGCCTTGCACGCGGTTGACCCAAGTTTGATCCCTGGTGGCCCATATGGTCCCCCTGAGCGCCACCGGGGTGATTCCTGAGCACATGCGTGCACGCGCACGCACACACACACAGATATAGATACACACACAGACAGACACACAGACACACGGACACCCCCAGCCCCCACCCCCACCGCCTGCTGCTTCTGCCTTCACCCCGCCCGCTGGCGGCCCTTCTGTGCTCTCCGCTGTTTCCCTGGCGCCTACAACAGCACTTGGCAAGCAGATGGATAAGTATCTGTTGAATGAAGAATCGTGTTCCTGGGGCTCCCCGCCTTGCCCCCCTCCCACCCCCCCGCGGGCCCCACGCCGGATCTGACTCTCTGTTCCCAAGCGGCCCTCCCGGGGCCCTGCGAAGGCACAGACTCGGGGCTGGCTCCCTGCCAGTCACATCTGGCACCAGCAGAAAGTTCTGCCAGCTTCCAGGAGGAAAGGGCCAAGTGGTGGGAGGCAGGCGGCCTGGGCCAGGGGCCCTGGGCCAACAGGCAGGAGCCCAGGTTCCTGGTGATGGGGGCCCCCCCACCCCAGAGCCCACCTGGGCCTTGAGGGCATCCAATCCACCAGCCTACTGAGTCTGGGCTCCTCCTCTCACTCTTTCCTGGGGGGGGTCACACCCAGTGGGGGGCAGGGCTCACACCCAGAAGTATTGGGGTGTCCGGGGGCCTCACATGGTGACCCCCAACTCTCTCTCCAGCCCCTACCACCTACTTTTCTTTTTGGGTCACACCCGGCGATGCTCAAGGGTTACTCCTGGCTCTGCACTCAGGAATTACTCCTAGCAGTGCTCAGGGGTCCACATAGGATGCTGGGAACCCAGGTCGGCCACGTGCAAGGCAAACGACCTACCTGCTGTGCTATCTCTCCAGCCCCCCCACCACCTAGTTTTTCAAAAACACACTTTTTTGTTCCAGTGTTTTTGTTTTTCTGGCCACACCCAGTGTAGCTGTGGTGGAGTCAGGGGTTACTCCTGGCTCTGCACTCAGGGATCACTCCAGGCGGGGCTCAGGGGACTCTATGGGGTGCTGGGGATTGAACCCAAGACGGCTTTGTGCAAGGCCGGCACCCTCCCTGCTGTTAAAACCTGTTTTCTTTGGGGCTAGAAAGTGTACAGGGGGCCGTGGCCTTGCATATAGGTCACTCGGATATCTCCAGCATCCCGTAGGATCCCCCAAGCACCACCCGGAGTGATTCCTGAGCATAGAGCCAGGAGTAACCTCTAAGCATCAGTGGGTGTGCTCCCTCTCCCCCCCCAAATAAAAACCCCAAGAACAAAACATAAAATAACTTTAAATAAATAAAATTGGCTTTGGAGCGAATTAGAGAGTGCAGTGGGAGAGAGAACAGCGGGGAGGGCACTTGCATTACAAGCAGTGACCCAGGTCCAAACCCCCAGTTCCTCCTAATGTCCCCCAAACCCCACCAGGAGTGATCCCTGATTGCCGAGCCAGAAGTAAAATCGAGGACCACGGAGTGTGCTCACCCCCTACAAAAAAAACAAAACAAAACAAAACAAAAACAAGCCTTTGCAGGGACTCTGGAACAGGTCAGGACGAAGAAGCTGGGGAGAGGGTGGGATAACCCAATTGCTCACTCACCTCCAAAATGTAGCTGTCCACCTCCCGTACAAGCTTCTTGAGCTGAGAAAGAAGGGGGTGAGGGGGGAAGCCAGAAATCACCCAGGGGGGAAGAGTTCTGGGTGAGTTCTGAACGGAATGCTGTGTGACCCTGGGCAGGTCACTCTGCTTCTCTGGTCCCTACTCTCATCACACACAGGTGCTGCCTGGTTAAGGAGACCCTGGGCTTCATTCTCAAGGTGAAGTTCAAGGACTTTCCCTGTGGCCTCCCTGCCCGCCCCTCCAGCAACCCCACAGGCCTTCGTCCTCCCTCGCCCCGCCCCACCAGCCTGGGTCTTAACCAGGGTCTTGCATGAGCTGTGCTCACTGTTAACCCACCCTTTCGTGCTCTGAGAGCTATAGGGGGGTTTGCAGCAGCCCTGTCTGAGCAGATTCCTCCCAGCTGGTGCCAACTCTCCTTCCCAAGGGCTCGTCTCCACCATCACACCTTTACCTGCTTATATTTCCTCAGTTGGCTTTCTCCACTTTTTTTTGGAGGGGGGCATGGGGGCAGAGTGGGGCCACACCTGACGATGCTCAGGGATGACTCCTGGTGGTGCTTGAGGGACCATAGGGGGCGCCGGGGATTGAACCCAGGTTGGCAAGTGCCCTCCCCGCTGCCCTATTTCTCCAGCTGCCTCTTATTTCTCTCCCAGCCAGAGCTGCACCGCCAATGAGCTAGCCATGAGCCCAGTGTGGCGACTGAAATTAAACTGTGAATGCAGTGCCACGGGTCCAGCAGGCACCAGACTGGATACGGCGGTTACAGAGCACTAGCACTGGTCAGAATGTTCTAGAAGACTGCAGCTCACCACCCCCACCACCACGACGGCATGCATCCTCGCAGGCAGGGCATCCGGGCATGAGCTCTAACCAGGAAACACGGGCCTAGGGCCAGACAAGCCCCTCCTGGGCATCTGAATGAAGAAACACTCCCCAGAAGATGGTGGGAACCAGAGCACAAAGCCTAAGAAGAAAGGGTGGCCCTCAACTTGGCTGTTAAGGCCTAACAGGAGGCTGGGGAGCGACTCACCATGCTCTCCATCTCCTGGATCACTAGGATCAATCTGAGAAGGAAGTAAAAGTTGTTGGAGGGAGGCAGGAGTGGAGCGGAGAGGGTGAAGAGTAATTTACGGAATACTGGCAAGTGGGAGCCCCGCCCTCGGAGACCACGCCCCCGAAGCCCCGCCCTTCCGTAGCCCCGCCCCCGCGAGGGGTCCCAGCGGCATCTGTCAGCCAGCCAGGCCAATAATGGTTCAATGCATGGCAGTGCTCTACTGCTCAGGCCCTGGGGTGCTGGGGCTTACCCCAGCCACACCTGGTGGTACCGGGGAAGGGCGGGGGCAACTTTCGGGATTGCACACGCGCGCTCACGCGCAGCCACGCACGCTCTGGAGAAAGAGGCTGTGGAGAATGTCCGCGTGCTGGGGACTGAACGCAGATCAGGCACATGTGAGACAGCACCCTGGACTATCTCCTCGGCCTAGGAAAAAGACTTTAAAGTCCTCTTTTTTCCTTTTTTTTTTAAAAAAAAGAAAAACTTTGGGTTACTGGGGGCTGGAGAGATAGCACAGCGAGTAGGACATTTGCCTTGCACGCGGACGACTGGGGTTCGATTCCCAGCATCCCATATGGTACCCCCCCCCCCCCCGAGCACCGCCAGGAGTGATCCCTGAGCAACGCAGGGTATGACCCAAAAGCAATAAACAAACAAACTTTGGGCTACAACCAGTGATGCTCAGGGATTAATCCTGGTTTTACACTTAGAAATTACTCCTGGAGGTACTTTGGGGACCCGGGGACCCCTGCAAGGCAAGTGCCCTTCCCGATCCCTCCAGACGCTAATGCCCCATTTTGCAAACATAACAGAGCGAAAGCAAAGTCATGCCGAACAACTCAAAAATCTTAAACAGCAGCTGTGGCGTTGCTGGTTGCCTTTGGCCTCTGCCCTCACCGGGGTTTTCCAATAACCGTCCCTTCTGCATCTGGGGAGGGCAGGTGGGATGCTTTCTGGGGCCCCAGCGGAGCGGCCAGCTCCGAGAACTCAGCCTCACCTGGAGATCTGCCTTTGGGTTTCCTTCACGACGAGCGCAGGCAGTTCTGCTGGGTTGGTGCTGGGGAGAGCCTAGAAAAATCGGGGTAGTGGTGGTGGTGAACCCAACACCCAACACCTCTGCCCCTGCCTCCAGGAAGCTCTCAGGGATCTACTCAGCACAGGTTTAAAAGCTGGTGGCAATTTGGAGGGACAGGGACTCTGGGCTATACCCAGTGGTGCTCACTGGGGCTCACTTGTGATGGGGTATGGAGAACCTTATGCAGTGTTGGGGCCAGCTGTGTGCATGACAAGCAGTTTAACCCCTGTGCCATCTCTCGGGCCCCACCACTCCGCGCAAAAGCCAGCACCTTCAACCGCACAGTCTCTCTGGCCCAGAATGGGTCCTTCTGGGAGCTGGTGCCATAGGAGATCCAGGGGGGCGCTGGCCTTGAAATCTGGGGTTCGATCCCTCACTGCCCATAGAGTCCCTCAAGCAGAGCCAAGAGTCAGCCCTGAGCACAGCCAGTATGCCCCCCCCCAACCAAGGAAAAACAAACAAAAAACAAACAAATGGGTCTTATTTGAGGGGCTGGGGAGATAGATGCTCTCTGGGCTGAGCCTTGGCTTTGTATGCTGGGGGGGCAGGGTCCAACCCTCAGCAACATTCCTGGAGCACTATGGGGAGCATCCCAGTTCCTGGAGTAGCGCCAGGAGTAACCCCTCAAGTACAGCGCAGGGGACAGCCCCTAAGCACACAGATATCCAGCGCCCCCCTCCCAACAAATGAAAGGAGAAATGGTCCTCTTTGCAAAAGCCTAGAGGGAGGGAGATTTTGGTTGTAAAACAGTGACCCATGAGGAACTTCACTGAACAAGGGCCAGAGCTGTAGCACAGTGGGGAGGGTGCTTGCCTTGCATGTGTGACTGACCCGGGTTCGATCCCTGGCATCCCATAGATCACTCCACCTTGAGCACGGCCGGGAGTAAGTTCTGAGCATCACTGGGTGTGTTTCACCTGCCGCCCCCCCTCCACCAAATGGTGCCCTGGCACCTGGTTTGTGGATTAGTGTCCCAGGCCACAGGTGTGGCTTGCAAACCCCATGTCCCCGCCAGAAATAGGTTAGCACCCTCCCCCCCCACCTCCAGGCGCCTGGAATCTCACCATTTTGGGGTGCTCTGGGGGGCCCCCCAAGGCCATCTTTGTGCCGGGAGTCACAGGGGCTTTGGCTGGACATGAAAGAAGGAAGAGCCTGATGGCAGGTCCAGGGACAGAGCACTGGGGCCGGGTCACCCCAATCCCTTCCCGAGTTCCTCCCATCCCCCCACTGCTCCTCCGTGCGTGCTATGCTGATGGAACAGCCTAGAAAATGCGGGGCGGGGGTGGGGGTGGGGGGCGTTGAAGGTGGGAGGCGATGGGAGATACAGACACACCAGGACTGGTGGGCTGAGGGCTCAAGTTCAACTGGAGTTACTGGGCTAGGTTTTGAAGGATGAGAGAGAGTTGGCCTCTCCTGTCTCATGAGTCATCATCCATCCCTCCATCCCTCCACCTCTCTTCCTCTCTCCTCTCTTTCCCTCTCTCTCTTCTCTCTCCCACTCTATTCCAATCGCTCCTGCAGTTCCAAAGCCCCCTTTCGTAGTCTTGCTTCTCAGTTCTCTGCCAGCCCCGGTCCTCTGGCGACCCCCAGGCACCCGGCTGGAAACACCCACCCACCTGAGCGTGGGGCCAGGAGCAAGGCCCAAGATACCTGAGCACGCGGGGTCCCCGAGAGGCCGGCGGGAGGGAGCGGCGAGGGTCGGCCAAGTTCAGGCCCAACGGAAGCGCCTCCCCCACCTCACCCCAACAGGGGGGTCCTTTTGACCCATCAGCCCCGCCCCGGCACACCCTGGGCCACTCCCGGCTGCCACCTGCCCGGGGAAGCCCATCAATGAATTAAGCAGCAGCTGCACGTGGGCCCAGGCTCTGCGGGCGGCCGCCAGAGGCCCCGACCAATCACGGGGCGGCTCCTCCCACGTGGGCTGCGGTCCTCGTCGCTGATTGGTCGGATTGCCGCGGGTCCAGGCCGGGCTGTCAATCAACGCGCCGGCCGCGCTGCAGCTGCTTAACCCTTGCGGTGCTGCGGGCAGCCCAGGGCGGGCAGCCTCTACCCAGACTGGAGGAGGTTTGGGAGGAGAGGGGCTGGGCTTGGTGAGAAGCTGGATAATAAAGAGCTAAACCCAGGAGGGATCTTCGGGTCCGGGCGTTAGGGGAGGTGCCGAGACGCTTAGAAGTGGCCCAATAACCTTTCTCTCCATATTAAATAACGTGCAGAGCGAAGGAAGCTTCACGCTTCCTTTCTGGGGAAAACCCAAGAGCGAGCTCCCTTTCATCCCCAGATTCCTGGGAGCCAAGCCCCCCCACGCCCCCCCTTGCATTTTATCAGAGAAGCCGTTTTGGAACTGCAAAGGCTTTGAGGCTGCTACATTCTTTCCAGATTCAAGGCCAGGGTGGGGAGAAGTGGTGTGTATTCATGATGGAGGAGGAAGAATTGTGTTTGTGTGTGTGTTTGTGTGTGTGTGTGTGTGTGTGTGTGTGTGTGTGTGTGTATGTTTTACAGAGCCCGTTTTGAAAGCCTACCTACTCCATACACTGAAACGTCTTATGGACAGAGAGCTTGCATGCTTGCCTACCCCAGGACCTTTGCACTGACCATTTCCCACTTCCCCTAAAGACATTCCCTTTGACAGCACCCAGGCTGGCTGACTGACTTCATTCTGCTCTGGCTTCCAACACCACCCCCCTCCCAGCCCCATCTCCCTTTCTTGATTTACTTTTCTCCAAAGGTGACTGAAACTGGAGCTAATCTTGTCAAGTCAGGGGCTGGAAGCCCTGCTGTGTTGGAAATTCATGGAGGAGAAGTTGAGGTTTTCGAGGTTGGGCTGTGTGCCCCGACACCACCACCCCACCACCAGCAACCCGTGCCAGAGGGGTGAGATTAAAGCATAAAACTTGGGGTTTGTGGCTATGAGGAGGAGGAGGAGGAGGAGGAAGAAGAGGAGGAGGTTAGGTCTGCTGGGGTCTGAGCCACAAGAAATGGTTTCCACCCATGATCCCTCCGCTGACCCTTAATTGAAGTCTATTTTATTTATGGGCCAGACTGCTAATTGCCTCCCTCTGTGCTTGGCACGCAGCTCTGCGGTTGTAAACTTTCAGGCCGGCAGGAGACACCGGTTTCTCCAAGGCTGTCTGCTCTCCGGGCTACCTGGGCTACCTGCGGCTGCTCAGAGATGAGGAATTCAAGGGAAGTCAAAGGGAACCCTCAGGCAAGCACTGGACAGCTCAGCCACCCCACTGGCCTGCCCACTCGGCAGGGAGCTGGGCTCAGGCTATTCAAACTCAACATGACCAAAGGCTGGAAAAAAAGTTTAGCCCTGAGGGCACTTGCCTTGCATGCAGCTGACCTGGTATCTGACCTTGCATGCAGCTGACCTGGTATCCCCTAGTGATTCCTGAGTGCAGAGTCAGGGGTAACCCCTTAGCACCGCCAGGTGTGTGCCCCTCCCCCCAACAAAGAAACAGAAGCGTTCTGGGGCCTGAGCCATAGGACAGAGGGGAGGGTGTTTGCCTTGCATGTGGCTGATCCTGGTTCAATTCCCGGAGGTCCCTTGAACACTGCTAGGAGTAATCCCTGAGTACAGAGTTAAGAGTAAGCCCTGAGCACCGCTGGATGTGGTGAAAACACACACACACACACACACACACACACACACTGTGCATGGGTTAACCATGGCGTGTGTGTGTGTGTGTGTGTGTGTGTGTGTGTGTGTGTGTTAGGCTACACTAAGTTCAGTGACTTCCAGTGATGGGAAGGGGCTTCACTATGGCTTTCTCACATGTAAGGCCTATATTCTGGCCCTTTGAGTTCAGAAACTTTTTTTTTTCTTTTTGGGTAACACCTGTCGATGCACAGGGCTTACTCCTGGCTCTGCACTCATGAATCACTCCTGGCGGTGCTCAGGGGACCATATGGG